TTATTGATTGTAACATACCTTAAAATTGGATATTAAAAAAAAGGACGGCCCAAAAATACAATAAAATAAAAGACGAAATCCCTTTTATTTAAAGGCTTTTACCCCCTTTTAATCCCCATGTCAAATAAAGCTGGCAACTTTATTAATGATGGACTGGAGCCACTTGAAAATATTGATGAAGTCATGAATAATAAATAAAATAATTCTTCGAGGAAACAAACTCATTAAAAGGTTTCTGACCAGTCAACAACTTTGCGCCACAAAACAAGCCATTAAAAATGTTTAGTACATCGACTATGGCAGAGACAGGCACAGAAAAAGCAGCTGAAACGACAGGTAACTGCCAAACAAGTCGAAGTTGAAAAAAGTCAAAGAATGAGTGCAAAACCCAAAATGAAGGCAACTGTTTAGTGGAAGTTTAGCAGAGTTACGGTGGAAAAAAGTTACACAAAAAGTACGCCAAAAAACAAGGCTAAATTTGAGAGTGTCCCCTGGGCACAGTTGAGTGGCGGGCCTGGGCCCCCACCCAGCTGTCACCTGTAAAATGCCGCCGCCGGCAGCATTGGCCATAGCCGAGGGTTTTTCATGCTTCCATTATCCACTTGTATGAGTGGGAATAGAGTTGGAATGGGAGTGTCCTTTTGTGCCCGGTTCCTGTAAATTGAAAACAGTCGCCAAACGATATTAAGACAGCGAATGTGGCAATGAACTGGGGCTCTCCAGCGTCGGGAAGCAAATGTACATTAAATTAAAAGTTAAATGTCGCCGGGGACTAATTGTCGAATTGTGTGAAATACCTCAAACACAACAGGTACAAATTGTTGGTTAAAGATGTGGTTCGTAAGATCTGTGAAACAAAAAGTAAAATCATAAGAGGCCTAAATTAAAATTAAATTATTAGAATTTGAATTCAGTAAAGCTTTTTCTGAAGTGATACATTCGACTTAATTTAATAAATTGAAAGAGCATGTGAGCATGAAGAGCATTTTTTAATGACTAGTAGCACGGGACAGAATTCCGATGCCCGGTCCGGTCCCGATTAACGCCATTATTCAATGAAATTTATATTTCATAGGACAGGGAAAGTTAAAATCGTATTCGGGGAAGATGGCAGTCGTGGGACACTCGAGCAAATCTGGAAATAAACTTCAAAGCATTCAACATTTACCCACTGACCAGGAACGCCCCCGACTTGTTCGCTTTCGATGTAATCTGCACAATGCCAGGACAGAGTTTTAATTGCTATGACACTGCAAAGACACGGCTGACTGGATAAATGAAACAAGGCTCCCGACAGGATTCATGGGTCAGGATCCTTAGAGCTGCTAGTTGTTTTTGTTTTTGTCATTTTCTTATTTGATAAAGATAAAAATCATTTTGTAAACAGCGTCGTCGGTGGCACCATCAAGTGTACCGTACATGTCCCTGACAGAATAGACAGACAGGACACAACGAACAGGTCAGTCCTAGTCCGGGGCACGCTCTCGCAGCTCGTTGGCAGCCTCTTAATTGAATGCTCATTTCAACGGGACAGGAATCACTTTTCCAGCAGTCTAGCTTCGCCGGCATTAATTGCATTTTTATTTCATTTCCCAGCAATTATCGCAAGTTCGTGTGCTTATTCCATAAGCCAAAGCGGAGAATAAATGCACGGCAAAAAAGAGGGTAGATATATTTAATTTAAAAAATCCCCTTAAAAATTTAATTTTGGTGCTGCCACCAGAAGATTCGATTCGCAGGAACTTGCCACATCCAGGAGGCAAGGCAAAAGGTCAAGCGTGTCGTGGGTGTATCTCTGCCATTTGCAACTTGTTGGCTGCATGTGTGTCTGTATGGTCATATGTCCTGCGAAACGGTAATTAAAGGCGACCAGGACTTGTACCGAGCTCCTTTTCAGCTACTGGTTACCGGTTATGTATATTGTCTCTGCGGCGTTTTCCGCTCCCTTATTGTTAGGGGCAACTCCCATTTGCTGTTGCAGTTGCAGTTACCACTGATTTTCAGTTGCTGCGTGTTGTTAGTAAAGCAATTAGCATGAGTTTGTTATTGCAACACACGGCAAGGAGTCGGCAGGTGGCAGGACCAATGTGTCTGCCACCTACTGAAACTTACCTGAAACGTCAAAGCACTGGAGCGGAAAGTCATCCCCTACCCAACGCCACAATATAAGAATTTAATTTATTTACTCTCCAACGGGTAAGGTGTTGGGAATTGACCATGTACAGCTTTTAACTGTGAGCGAACAAATCACTGGCAAGAGGAACCTTTAAAAGGGACAATTCACACATAATTGGTCAACTCTTTAATTCCTCATATGGTTCTTAAACGATGGTTGTTTGATTTCAGGTAAATATATATTAAGAACAGGGACCGTAAATAATGATTATTGTTATGATTTTTATTTAAAAAATCACAAAATAATAATTATTCTCTGAGCGAAAAAAAAATAAAAAAATATACATTATTCTCTGATCGAAACAAAAAATCACAAAATAATCATGATTTTATGATCGAATAATAAAAATCATAAATAATCATTATTTTTTGTTTAATTTTTTTTTGCTCAAAGTTATAATGATTTTCTGAACCGAGCTTTCAAAAAAGATTATTTTTAACGTGGAAATTGTCCAAATGTGTAATCCTCGAAACCTTCTCTCTGGTCTATTTTAACTTTCAAATCATTCAGTTTAAAAACTCCGCCCAACTGCCATCTTTTACCTAAAGGTTTTGTTTTCAAAGAAAACATGTTCGTTTGATCAAGACCATGTGGCCATTTTCCAATCAGTTTTCTTTGTAGCGGCTTGCTCCGAAATTATACCTCATTTTTCCCAATGCCATAGATTAAGTGCGTCCCCAACCAAGCCCCAAAGTCCGGGCTATCACCCTTCGCCGAGGGCAGGTAACCTTCGGCACCTTTTAAGCCGCCCGGCTAGTCCTTCAATGCCTCAAAAATCCCATTTCCCACCCCATCCCAGGGGAATCTGTTGCTTTGTTATCTTGCTCCTCTTTCATTGCATTTTATTCACTCGATGGGGAGTTGCTTCTTTCCGCAAAGGATTTTGCCAGCTGCATTTTTGGTCCTAACCCGGATGAGGAGATGGTTTGATTTCGGTTTGCTGCTCTTGCCACCACCAGCTTCGTCGTGGATTATGCAGAAAGTTTTTCATTAATGTTGGATTTAGATATTTTTTCACGTTCTGTAACGGTTGCTTTCTTCCTTCGTTCTCCCCCTGGTAAGCTGGTGAGCATTTTTTCGCACAGTTTCCCCGGGTTTTCCCCGCTTTTGCTCAGCTTGAATTCCCCCGGAGCAGAGCTCTGCTTTTTTCCTGTGTTTGGTTGTTGACAACGCAAGTTTGGTCCCAGGATACGTTAACTTTTGTGCACCGCAGCGTCGAGCATCGGGATCGCAGAGCAGTGCAATGAAACTTGACACCGCAAAGCACAGATAGGTTGGAATAGATAGATATATGGACAACCAGAAAACACTTAACAACAGGTCTTGTTGGCCGCAGGACGAATCTGCCTTACGAAAAGAGGCAAATTAAGGAGAGGAAATTAGGGAAGCGCCTCCAAACAGCTTTAAATCTTTCAAATGTGTTGCAATAACACATCACTTGATGTGTTTTTCGTATGCATGACTGTGTCTGTATGAGACAACGGAGATTAATTAGGACGGTTGCTTTGTTTTTCCAGAAATTTTTATGAGAAAGAAAGTTTTTCACATTTTATTATAGTTGACATTTATGACATTTTGTGGCAAATTCAAACATTAGTGTTAATGAAGTCTCCATAGATTTTGCCCAGTGCATGACTGCGTTTATATTTTTTGTAACAGCATGCGTTTTTTTGTCATTGCAATATAACTCGAACTTTTCTTCTTTCTTTGTATATACAAACATACATACGAACATTTATGTATATTTATCCTATTCTCGTATCTGGTTGGTTGCGGCGCACTATGGGGCTAACTACTTTTTGTGGCCTTAAATAATGCCAGTAAATTGAAATATATATTACACTGAGTTTATATCTAACTAAAGGGACCTAAAACGGTAGTATAGAAAAATAGGCGTGTCAGCGCCCGCGCCGCCCACAAAACCTGAATGTTTTGCACGTTTTTGAAGCTAGACCTTTCAAAGAATACACCCAATAACAGAAACAAACCGATCAATTCCTTCAATAGACATAAAAAAAAACGTACTACACGTACCACTAATTCGACTGTATATAAAATATTTCAAATTTAAATCCTTTTAGTTCACAATTAAATTTGTTAAAAAACGCCATAAATTTGCTTGTCATCCATGCGTTATTTTTTCGTAATAACAGTGGCATGATAACTTTTTTAATATGAACCATTGAAGCTGAATGCCGTGATTAGACCCTTATTTTAAGGACTTTGAAAAAATGACTTTTGGCCACAAAAAGTGGTCCAAGGTTTCTATGGGCCACGAACCCATAGTGCGGCAGTTGTTTCTTTGGAGACAGTTTTGCTGCGTTGCAGTGCAAATTGTTGGGTTTTGCTTTGCTTTTTTTCTTTTATATTCTTACTGGATTTTTTCTGCGGTTATATTTTCGTTTGTGTTTTTCGATTTGTCGGAAGACATCCTGGGGCGTGGGGCGTTTGCCTGGGTCCTTAGCCAGAAGACCCCACTCTTTTTCCGCGTTTCAGCATTTATTTGAGTGTGTAAACTTTTGCTACTTGAATTTTTTGGTGATTTTCCTGTGGCAGTTTCACAGTTGGTCCTGCGCAACTTTGATAGTTTTGTCAAAAGTTTTTATTGCGATTTGTTGCAGCTCCAAGTCCAAGTCTTGTAAAAATAATGCTCATCCAAAAAGCAAAAAGGCTGGAATTCCCCAATATATATTTTTGTGTGAGAAGTTTCGTAGAACATGGGGCCTTGAGCTTGCCACAATGTCCTTCTACTATTTAAAGCATTTTAAGTGGTGATATGTAAAATGGAGAAAACTACTTCAACCAGTATTCATGATTGAAGAAATTATTTCTAATACAGAGTTTATTAAAAAAGAGGTATATACGGGAAGAGCAATATCTAAGATTATTTATTAAATAGTGGGAATAGTATTATCCCGTGAGGCATCTCCCATCACTTGTTATCACAATTCTCGATGACCACAACGTCGCCGTAATTCGGAGGGGGAGTCTCTGGCCTGGGCGCTCTGGCCGTTGTATTCGGGGCCGTGGGGTGACGACTTGGCTCCCGATCGCGACTGCTGAACAGGTTGCTCCGGCTCAGGCGCCGGATGAGGGTGGCTGTATTTTGATTGATGGTCCGGACGTACTGGCTCCGAGCCGGGCGGCCAAAAAGCCGGGACACAAAGTTGTCCTGTGGTCCGTAGGGTTGCCGAACCAGCGTGCGCGAAGGAATTTGGCTTCGTGTTCGCTGGGGGTTGGAACGTCTCGGATGGCGTGTTCTTTGTGGTGTCCAGGTGTGAATAGTTGGTAGGCTTTCCTGTGAGATGTCCAATGGAGCTTTAACAAAACAGCAATAAAATTAACGAAAATAGCTAAACAGCGAAAAAAACGAAAATCTAAGATAACGTTTTGAAGGTGACATTTTAAAAAATATGAATTTAAAATTTAAAGCCAAATTTAGTTTTTAACTTATGTATGTTTAACTGTCTAGAAGGATTTCGAGTTTAAGAAAGCCGACAGATAAATTAGTTCCTGCATATATCTATATTTGAAAAATATAACCATAAGAACCATTAAATATTAAGGTACACCCAATGTTTATGAAATGTGATAAGCCAAAGGATTATGAAAAAGTCAAATCTATTTTGCTTTTGGATGTGTAATTGGCTAGAAACGTTTTTAAATATATTCAAAACAAACTCACCAGAATCTTCGCCGACCACTTCCTGGCGAGTTTTTTTCTTTCGCATCTCACAGCAGCTTTTGAGGCAGAGGGCAAAGGTAATAATGAATATGATCATGCAAGCCCCTGTGGCTCCTCCCACCACAAAGGCCAACTTGAGGTCGTCCTCGTCGTAGGTGTGGGAAGGGATAATTTCGTCGTTGAACTGTGAACCTCCTCCGGCAAGGAGCTCGTGACTAACTCGCTCCAGGCAGGTTTTGTACCTCATGCAGAGCTTTTCTCGGCTTCCTTCGCAGACGTCGTTCAAAGACGCCGCTTCGCCGTCGACCTGTTCACTGCTGTCCTCCTCGCTGGAGTCCAGCTCCCGCCAGATGGCCACCACGGATTGAGGTTCTGGGGAGGAGGAGTCCGAGTGCTGTTGCAGGCGCTCCGATTTTCGGACCGGGGAGAACAGGGTTCCCACATCCTCCGACTGACTGGAAACCACCTCTTCCTTCTGTTCACAAGAACTCAAAAATATCTCCACCCCACGCTGCCGTAGACTGGCGGCCACCTTAATGAGTGCCCGGTCGCAGTTTAAGGGGTTCTCTTCCACATTCAGCGAAGCCAAATACCGCGGGGCGTGGAAATCCGTTGCACTCAAGGTCAGCAGCATGTTTTGAGCCAAATCCAGCTGCCGCAGTTGTGGCAATGCACTGAGGAGCTCATTGCCCAGCTGGCTGACCTGCGAGTTTCGCAGATTCAGAGAGCGCAGGGAGGGGCTCCTTAGCAGAGGTCCACTCCCCAGGCTAGCCAGCTTGTTTCCCTCCAGGTTTAGTTGGACTAGCTGGGTATTGGACTCCAGAAGGTGCTCGTCCACCTGCTCCAAGCGGTTGTAGGACAAGTCCAAGTGACGGAGCCGACGGAGCTCGGAAAAAGCGTCCGCATACAAGGTGTGAATGGAATTGTGGGCCAACGTTAAATTGAGCAGGTGGATGTTCGACTGTACAGAAGAAGAAAATGGTTTATATAAATGTGTCTATTAGATTGGGAAATATCTGAATTTAGTTGATTAAAATATTTGTTGTTTGTAGCCATTAATGCAAATAATACCTGGAGTACGATTTTCCTTTTTATAGTCACACACAATTTTATTTATCCATGATCAGTGGCTTCCTTAACCAGATAAACTAACTATACATTTACTTATTCCGATTTAACTTCTATATTTCCAAAATGTTTTCTGAATATTTGTCTTTTCTTTTCGTAATCGTAGTCTTTTGGTTTAATTGCAAATTAAAAATTAATATTATTAAAATAAAACTAAAAAGGTCATAATTGATGTTTCCGACTATATCAATCACGGTAATCTTTTTTGGCAGATAACGGCCACCCTAATGGTTGATTGAACTAACCTTACAAAAAATTGATATTTGTGTTACTTTACTACATATTTTCGTACATACATACTTTTTCGTTTGAAACAAGACATTATATTTTTAAATTTTGTTTTTGTTGAATACTTTGTTTCTTTAATTATTTTCCATCTAAACTTTTGCAGAAATTTTTTTTTTTAAACACGATTTTATAATTATTTAATTTTATTGATGCGGATCTTACTAATTAACAATATTTCACAAGAATAAGGTATAAAAATATACCCAAAAAAATATTTATATTAAAAGGCTTTAAAAACGCACCAATGATGTACTTTCGAGTGTAGGTTACAAACATTGTCTTGGCAACCACTCACCCACTTATCGACTTACTTGGAACGAGTCATCCTCTATGCTGGTTATATCATTATAGCTCAAGTCCAAAAGCTCCACAGACTTGGGCATTTCTATATTGGGGCTTATCAGTCGCTTCGCACTGCACAAATAATTCACAAAACTATTAAACTTTCTAGTCAAATGTTTGTCAATACTAGCCTGCAAATTGCTCTATTTCGCTGGAGATGAAAGTCACAGTGGCAAACTTTGGGGCAGAGGGTAAGGGACTGCGTCTTGCTCCTGCAAACTTGAAGGACGACGCACAGGATGAGGCCCACGTAGAGCAAGATCTGTTTGATGCCCAGCCACATCTTGGGTTTTATAACGCATTGCAGTGCCATAGGAAAAATCACTTTCTTTAGCTGGAAAGGGTTCAACTAAAGTGTTTTTCCATATTTGTAGATTTTGTGTGTCTCTTTGTGTTGTTTTTGAAATTCCTGCTTATTGTGGACTGGTCTAGCGCCTGGAAAACGACCCTCAACATTCCCGCCATGACTAACGATGCACTACCTTCCCCTGGTAGGGAATATTGGTCTAGTAAAGAAATTGCTTTTATATACTAGTAACTGAACTATTCTCACGTCTTAAATGCCCGATTTGGTTACCTGTTTTCCAGTATGATAAGATAGCTGATTTCCCTCTTATCTAATCAGCCGAACTGGCTTTAATCGTTTTTAATGGAAGGGAGTCGGTGTCAGGTTTGAGTGTTCACTTGTTTGAAAAACGATATTGAGAACTGATCTTGCCATAAATATAAATAGGTCATTCCATCTTAGTTTCGGTAATTTTAGAGCAAGTATGATTTTTTAAGCGAATTAATAATAAAACAGTAAATCTTTTAAGCCGATAGCTGAACAAAGACGGAAAAAGCATTTAAAACGCATGTAAAGCATTTAAAACGGGGCAATAATTCTAACCCTCTAAGCTGCATTATAAAAAAAAAATGTTGTGTAAATTTTGTTAAATCCTAAGTCGTAAAAAACCTAGAGACGTAGAGCACAAGTATATAAGGTTATAAGGTTATATTGTAGGTTACAAGGTTATATTGTAATGTAAGTAACATAGAAAGGAATCATCTCCAACTCCATAAAGTTCATTTTTCTAGCAGAGATATGTCGCGGTTGAAACGATCCGCGTGCGGATATAGCGTCCGCGTGCACCATACACAGCAGGATAAGTACAAATTTTCAGTGTGCGTTTGATCTGAAGGAGTGATATTCTAAATCCTGAGTGATATTATTGTTTTCCTTATTCCATTATTCCTTATTACTTATACATTGCAAAAGTTTATCAGTGTGTGAGATATTTGCTTAAAACCAAATGGATTTTCATTTACTAAATTGGTTTCAGGGGTACATTGAAGTCTTCTGACAAGATATTTTACTTTATTATCTTCTCAATCCGACAATCCATTCAAAAGTTATTCAACAAGAATATTGTGAATAACTTTTGAAGGGGTTTGTGCGTTTTAGAGCCCAATTTGATAAGAGACCAAAAGCCAAATTATTTTTTTTTTAAATTTTGATAATACTACAACGATTTGTTGTACCTTGGAGATATTCCTTGAGATGTCGCCACTTTAATCCGCTAACTCCGCTAGCTTCTAACTTCCTGCAGCCAACTGTGTACAGCAGTGATACGTTGCGCTACATATATGTATGTAAATTAAAAAAATTGTATATAGTATGTATACAAAAATAATATAAAAGAATATTTGACATGTGCAAGAAACATTAAAAAAAAATACAAACACGTTCCGTGTAAAAAAAATATTCACTGTTTAGTTGTATATACCTGTACTTTTTGTTAGCCTCAAACCATGAATCGTTGGTACAAATCTATGCAAGACAAATAAAATGCAACGTCGTGCATAGAAGTTGAAATTGAGTAATATTTTCACTTAGGGACTTAATAATTTAGGAAAATAAATTTTCCGATTCTAATTTGCCGATTTGAAATGAAAAATTTATTTTTATCCATTCGCGTTGCTTGGTTTGTTTAAATTTTTTGAAAGGCTGACCAGACTAAAATACCTAATTTTACACGGCTCTCTACTAAAATCAAATTACAAAACATATGTATGTGTCGTATAACTCTTTCGGGACGGAGTTTTATTTAAAACCCAAGATAGTTGTGGCAAAGAATTTTCTTATTATCAAAAAACTGCATACTTAAAAATCCTTAAATCGTCCGTTTATCCTGGGATATATAATCCCCATACGTATTTTTGGTGGGGCATATTATCCCAATATGTATTTTCGGTGGGACACATTATCCCAATATGTATTTTTGATGGGACATATGTATTTGTATAGTGTTGTATTACCCCAATAAAATTTAGTTTTCTTTTCGACACCTGAAATGTTGATTGAGATTGATGTTGAGCCCAAAAAATTCTGTATAACTTACAATTTATTAGTGACTAACGCTTACTAAATATATTTTATATTATTTTTACTATTTTTCTCACAGAGTAGCCGCAAATAGTTTGCACTTTAATGCTTACACATGCGTTTTTCCAAATTTTGGGTGCAAATTGGCAAAATTTAACAGTTACATTGTAAACAAGAAAGGAAAGCTAACTTCGGGCGGAGCCGAAGTTTATATACCCTTGCAGTTAAAACCGGATATATATCGCAAACATCGGATATAGTTGGTCGATCCTTATGATTACATTATAATAAAACCAATTTACTAAAATACAAAATCTAAAAAAAGTCGCAAACTTCTATCTTCAAAAATACGAAAGTTGATATTTCTACCAAGTACCATTTCCGATCGTTCAGTTATATGGCAGCTATAGGATATAGTCGGCCGATCCTTATGAAATTTGGCATGTCGTGATAATTTGCCAAAAATAGCTCTCGTGTCAAATTTGAACTCTCTAACTCTAAAAACACCAAAGTTATACCATTTCCGATCAATCAGTTATATGGCAGCTATAGGATATAGTTGGCCGATCCGGGCCGTTCCGACTTATATACTGCGTGCAAAGGAAAGAAGGGTGTGTGCAAAGTTTCAAGACGATAGCTTCAAAACTGAGAGACTAGTTCGCGTAGAAACGGACAGACAGACGGACAGACGGACAGACGGACATGCTCAAATCAACTCAGGAGGTGATCCTGATCAAGAATATATATACTTTATAGGGTCGGAGATGTCTCCTTCACTGCGTTGCACACTTTTGGACAAAATTATAATACCCTCTGCAAGGGTATAAAAAGACACTTAAAGCTGCATTTGGGCAGACAACCCATAAATATAGACAACCCATTTCATACAACGAAAATGGACCCAAAAATTTCTTGTGACAGGCCCCAGCAGGCCCCAGAGCGAAATCTTACTATCTTTCTTACGCTCACCGTTCGTTCATCTTACCCTCATATTCTCATTGAATGATTTCGGTTTCTCAGGTCGTGAAAGGAGCGCGATGAAGAAGGTTGGCCTGCGCTTGCAAGCGCTTGGATTGATCTTTGTATGTATGCGTGTCACCGATTCACATACACGGATGTATGCGTGCGTGCGATTTCGTTTCGAAGCCAGCGCACAAAATTTTGATTTTTCTAACTTTTCAGGCTTGCTACCCTAACGAAATTCGCGTATTCGTTATTGGGTGAAATGACGAAAGAAATTATATTAAATTTGTAATATTTCACATACATTTTAAATTTATTTAGGAATAAGATTAGGTAGAAATGTTTTGTATATACATACAAATTTTTACGAATCATTAAAAGTCAATACACTGAGAAAGGAACAGGGTATATTTCAGTCGACATCACTTAAAACACCGATTGCTTTTAGGTTTTTGTTGTTTTGCATGTGAATTGTGCTTGCACCCTATTCACCCTACGGATGAATGCTTTTTAGGGGACCGGACAGCAAAAAAATATATTAAAAAATGTTGGTAAAAATCATGGTATACATAAACCATTTTCCATATAGACGGGTTAAAATCTTGAACCTGTGGATTACGAAGACTATAAGAGATATAATTATCCGATTTGGCTCTTTGACTCGTAAGGTATTTGCGCAGATCATGTTTGTGTCGCCGCTCCCAAAACGGAAATCATGTTATAGGGCCAGTTAATTTTTTGGAAATGTATTTTTAGAGGAGTTATAGACTTTTAAGTCTGCTTTTCTTCTGAATTGGTTGAAGGAACGTTGGGGTTATAGGAGGGCTTCGGTTGTTTATTTACCAAGCGCAAAAGTACGGAATACAAATTTTTTTCTGAGAATGCATACCTTTAAAGTTTAAAATTTAAAGGTTAGTTTAAGTTTGACTGAAAAAGATGAGTACCGGGTATAATATTGTCGACTATAGCGGTCCTTTCTTGTTATACCCTTGCAAAGGGCATTATAATTTTGGTAAAAAGTGTGCAACGCAGTGAAGGAGACATCTCCGATTTGACAAAATAATATTTTTGACAAAATAATAAGTACGACATCCCAAATTTCTTAAGGATCTGCCGACTATATCCTATAGCTGCCATATACTGAACAATCGAAAATGACCCAACTTTCGTGACCCAAGTTGGAACTTCGTACAGATTCTTTTTTTGGTCAGTCGATACAACTACCAAATTTCATAACAATCAGCCGACTACATCTTACAGCTGCCATATAACTGAACGATCGGAAATGGTATTTGGTAAAAATACCAGCTGTGATATTTTTTAAGATAGAAGCTTGGAACTTTTTTTAGATTTTGTATTGTAATAAACGTGTTATATTATGATATTCTCATAAGGATCGGCCAACTATATCCAATGTTTGGGATATATATCCGGTTTTAACTGCAAGGGTATATTAACTTCGGCCCGAAGTTAGCTTATCTTTCTTGTTTATTTTGGATAAAGTTTCAAATAATGTGACACAAAATCAAATTTTTATTGCATTAATTTATATTTGAACGGGACACTTGTACATGGTATTAAGCCTGTTAACGTCGGTCTCGGTCATAATCAGGCGCTGACCCATCAGGGGTTGTCCCTCTGGCTTAAGGGCCACAATGGTGGGCTCCCCGTTAATCGAAAAGGCCATGGAGCTGTAGTGCAGAATACTGCCATAGTCGTAGACCTGATCAAAGTCTTCCACCTCGGAGGCCTCATACTTGACAAAGTTTTTTTCATGCCCTTCCGAAATATTCTCCTCTACGATCTTTACGTATTCGTCTCGATTTGGGGAGCACTGTTGGTGATGGAAGCCCAGAGTGTGGAGCAGTTCGTGTTGAATAGTGCCCAACTTAAAACACCCCAAGTCCAGTTTATTGGGCTTCAGCTTAACCGTTCTTATGCCTGGCTGATAGCCCACTTTGGAACTACATCCTGTGAAGGAAGGTATCACAGTAACGTAGTTTTCGTCCTCTTCGGTGGCAGGTTGGAAACGAATGCATGATGTTCGCTGAATTATTTCCATGGCGAGCTCAATGTAAGCTACTTGCGGAGCATCTGTTATTTAAAAATTATTAAAAATTACAAAAAAATTAGAAATGGTACGATAAAGATGATGAAACACACCAAATTCTTCTGAAATAGTATAAGGAACTGTAGCGTTTGGCCAGCGTCGCGTCTCAGAAATCTCTCCGTTCCGGGTGAAGTCCACCTCCATATCGCCCTGGAAGTATCCTGCCGTCAATTCGGGATCAGTTTCCTCATAACTACCTTTAAAGGGAGCCGCAAGAACTGGAAAAAGACAGAGACTGCCCAGCAGAACCACGTTAATCCACGCTGCTATCATGTTCAACTAAATTAAAAATAAAGTCCGTCTAATATATAGGCTATTATCGCCAAACGCGGCTCCTTAATCCTCTACTTGTGATTGATTGCTATTAATCATAAATTGGCGATAAGCATTGGCGGACCTGTTTTATGACATTAGTACCAAATAAGCTAATCTATGTAAATTTAATGACAGGTAATAACCACTAAAAAGACTCACAAGACATTTGCCAAGAAAAATTTATATTTTACAAGTGTCTAAAGATTGAAAAGACTTATGCTTGTAGTAGTGGGACTCGGTCTCGGTGATAATCAGGCTGACTTTTAGAGTTTAGACTCCTATAACACCCACGCAGTTCAAATTTGTTTCAAATTCTTTCACGCCTCCTTCCGCCCCCACAAATCGCATATTTCTGTAGCGTAAGTACAGGAAGGTTTTATACATGGTTTGGGATTTTCGAAAAGTTTAGGGGTATATTGTAGTCGTGTGAATGTGTTTAACATAGAGAAAAAATCATTTCCGATCACATAAAGTGTATATATTCTTGGTCAGCATCAGCCGAGTCGATATAGCCATGTCTGTCCGTCTGTACGTCCGTCCATTTGTCTATCTGTGGATATCAGTGGATCTCAACGAGTGATGAACGCGTGGATCTTAGAGACTATACCATAAGAAATAGAGCTGTAGAATTTAGCATGGAGACTCCTACAATGCCTACGCAGATCAAGCTTGTTTAAAATGTTTGCCACGCCCTTGCCCGCTCCCACAAATTGCGAATTGCTGTAGCGCCAGTACAGGATGGCTCTTTGAAAAATGTTTGACGTCAAACTATTTCTTTAGATAATATACATATACATATATGAAAAACTAATTTTATCCAAATCGGCCGATATTTAGAGAAGATGTACCTACATACATATATACATATACCCCTTTTCCCATACAAACAGGATCAAATTTTGAACGCGTCTCTAAGACTATAAAAGATGAAACTACCAGATTTATAACTTGGAGTCGTATGGTATCCGCGCAGATCAAGTTTGTGTCAAAATTTTTCCACGCCCACTCCCGACCCCAAAACAGAAATCTATCTCATTGTAGCGCCAGTTAGTTATTGTGTTTTGAAAATGTTCCGATGCCAAGCTGTTTCAATGGCTAATCAGCACTTACCAATCAAAATTCAGTCAAATCGGATTTTTAGAGGAGTTATAGACTTTTAAGTCAGCTTCCCTATTGAATGGGTAGTATGGCCGTATGTTGGTAGTATGGCCGTGCCCTCAAGTTTGTTAAAAGTTTGTTAAAGTTAAAGTTTGCTAAGAATCCATACCTTTAAAGTTTAAAGGTTAAAGTGTGGGTGAAAGAGATGAGCACCGGGTCGAATATAGTCGGGAAACTCGAATTGGTGGCCGAACTAAATGCGATATTAACAATATATACCCGATCTTAACTGCAAGGGTATATAAATACGGACCGTGCATAGCACAGCGTTTCTTTCTTGTTAATCTTTATCTTATTCTATATGTTTTGAATTTTAATCTATACGTTTACTATGTCTTTGTCTTATTAGACCTTTATCCATTGAAAAGTCTCTCATTGAAAAGTCACCATAGAATATTTTTCTTCTGACAACTTTCGTTTTTTGACTTTATTGGGATCTGTAACTTTCAATTTCAACATGTTTCAAAATATATTCATCAAGCACTTGTTCAACTCAAATTCATTTATTGAGGCTTAAGCACAAACGTATCCTTAAATAATGAAGCTCGAGACTACTTAGCTCTACAGCTTGCACTTCCGTGTGGTTACAGTTTCAGGACCCAGTTTCGATGTACAGGCTGGATGCCCAGTTGTCCACTTGCCTGGAAACTACATCATGGGCCCCTACTTTCCGTCTTGACCAGCTTACCACTTCGCTTCCGCATTTGGTTTGTTGGCTTTAATTTATGGCACTGGCCCAGACGACTCAGAGCTTCAGACTGAGACTCTTAATGGAGCTGCGAAATTTGCGGAGGCTTCTGTCAGTCACACGGGGCGTGGCTGGTGGTCATCTCATCAGCTTTTTTCCCGGATTGAAACTTTCCACATTTTCACCCTTCCATCGAACGATCGCCATAATGTTAAGCAGAAAGGAAAACTTTCCTGCACACACACTTGCACAGATCTTTTCGCCGGGATTTTTCACTTTTCAGCCAGATAGCTGCTGGACCGTCGGAAATAGTTAACTTGTATATGCATTTCAAATCGGAAAGTTTCGCATTCAAACTTTATTAAAATTACGATGGCCGATGGCCGTCTAATTGTGCCAGTTAGATTTTTCCTAACTCGAAACGAATTTTGCTCGTTCACTCTTTTCTGTTTTGCAATTCAACGATTGAGTCAAAAATCCCGCTTAAGGGTTTGTCCTTTTGGTTAAACGTAATTTGAAAATTTTTGATTGGCCCTGCAGGCCGAAAATTTCTTAAAGTTATTATTACAAAAATAATATGTACTTTGACGGGACATGTCATAAAAGAAGCTGAGCCCTTTGTAAATTATCTTACATTTCACATAATAAAAATTCCATAAATAAATTTGCAAGTGCATATCATTTTCCCCCCACGCAGAAGCGAATGTGGTGCAAGTCCACCCACACTCCTACTTTGGCACATTTGCATTGTTGTTCCGAGTGCCGGCGCCTTTCTGTGGCATCCATTCCCAGTCCCCGCACTAATGACCGACATTGCTTCCTAATTACAAAAGTTTTGCATGCACTTGCTCCCATAGGGTAGAGGGTCGAATTTCTGGCTGAAAATGCAAAAAATTAAACAAAAACTTTTAAGTTTATTTTATTTCCTTTATTTAATGTTTGGGCGCTTAAAGTTGGACTTTTCATTTGGTTTTTAGTGGCTCTAACTAACGACTCCATTAACCCAAGGCAGCCGCAATACACATGTTTGGTCAGCAAAGCAAAAAATGGAACAGAGATGCCCGGGAGGAATGCCGAAAAAAGAATATTGCGCAAAGCCCGTTGAGGAGGAGCTCTCAGGACATTCCAGTTGCACATATGTCATGTGACACATGTGCTGACCCGGAACTGAAACTGGCCGAAGCCCACTCCCGTCCCATTTACATTCCGGAACCCGATCCAGTGTCGGGGACGAGTGTCTCCCACATCTCGGGCCAGGGCCGAACTTAATGATAAACAATGCTTGCGGTCAGTTTAACATGCCGCGCTATTACCCTGCCACTCAGCCGCTCCTCCGCCCTCTTCACTATCCACTTGTGGCACTTGCCACCGCTCCCCGCATGGATAACGAGTGGACAATTTACACGCTGAAACTGAACTGCAGTGGGCGCCCATCTGGCGGGTGGACTAATTGATACCTCAGTTCTTTGGGGAAACGCGCTAATGTGAAGCCATCGGCGCCTTGTCCAGGCTCAGAAAGTAAATTCAAAACTAGGAGTTTAATATAACCTGTTTTTTTTTCAAATTAGTATAGTGATTTTAACAATATATCAAAGAACTATTAAAAAAATGATGAACAGACTTTTGAACTTTTTTTTATTGGCCTTTCTTTCCAAAGGTAAATCCAATCTAGAAATAAGATAAGTCTAAAATATACTATTATAACCTGGAAATATTTAATAGAAAAACACAATCTTAGCATTTTTAAGCTTAATCAATGTTTTATTGATTATTTATTGTTTATTTTGTTTATTTATTTGTCATTTTTTTAATTTTCCCTAAAAGTTAAAAGTTTTAAACCATAGGTCCGAGATTCCCAAGAAAATCTTTGTTTGCAGTTCCTAGCAAAGGAAGAATAAGAACAAACGAAAAAAACAACATGCTTAAAAGAGCAGTAAATGCGAATTTATCCACTTGCTGACCAACGCAGCCCTCAGTCTCTCTTCCAAAATCCCTTCTGTTAGATTCCCAAAGGGGCGGGTGAGGAAGGGAGAAGGGCAGGTCCACAGAATGGCACTGAACTGGCGGACACACGCACATCGTAAAGTTTTAATCGGATGTTGTCCAGCTTTACATGACGCCATCTACTGGCTTAGAGTGCAATATCCTGTGGCACGCGATAACATCGAGCAAAAGAGTTGGGCGGCAGAAACAACTGACAAAGGACTACGGAAAACGGACAGAGGACAGGGGACATCGGAGAGGGAGGTGTAGGGGAGAATACGGGAATCCCACCCGTGTTTATGCGAAACGCCTGGGCACAGCGCTTCTGCCCCTTTTTGCTTTTTGACACAACCACGCGTAGGCAAGGATTCCGGACTGGGGTTCCTGCAGACGGAGTCCAACAACTCCATCCCAGGAACACAACGCCGGCACAGTTACAGATACAGCGGATTCAAAAGCGTTCGGCTCGAAAAAAATGGTGAGTTGTCTATTGCAATGCTAGGTGACTTCTATGGAAGGAGTACTATGAGGTAAAAGGTAACTATGAAGTATCTATGTAGACAAAAAAAAATATCAGTCAATATTTAAATAATCTTAAGTCTTTACACATAACATAACCAATATTGAGGCTGCATGTTGTGATTGCTGATACAAGGTCGATTAACCATGTTGACTAATTTTGATTTATAGTGTTACTTCCTGTTTGATAAATATTCGAATGGTCGGGAAAATCGCTTGACAGCTTATAATGTCGCCTGTCCGCAGCTAACTTCCTTGACTTGGTACTGAGGGTCGGTAAACTGCATAAACAATGCATGGTATCCTTTCAGGAAAGGGGATGCGAAGTGCCAGTGAAATGTGTGAGGTTCTGGTTGTTTCCTGGACTCGGTCAGTTGCTTTGGTGGACGCAGACTTTGCTGTTCGGAGTGGATCCATTCCGGTAAGTTGTATAGCACAAGCACCAAGCCGACAACCCACCAAACGATGCAACGAAGCTCGTTGTCATTGTCGTGACAGGAAATTAAGATGAATGTGGCAAGCAAACTACAGTTTCTTCGCCGGAGTTGCAACTACCCCGCTCCCACTGTGCTGTTGCCGTTTTTCTATTCGGTTAGACGCGGCAGAGACGGACGGCTGCCTCTTAAAATATTCATAACACAAACTGTTACCACTATCTCCAGTCCAGTTAGTTTACATGGGACGGGTATAAATTGGATCCCTGGGCATCGCAATCTCCAGAGTCGAGAGTCGCGCATTTGAATTAATTGATTTGTGTGAATTTGTTAACTGAGTTTTTCATAGTGGGAGAGTTCATAACTGAGTAAGCTTTGTGTGGCCGAATTCGACAAAGTATGCTGCTTCCGAGGATTGTTAGTCGTTCTTTAGCACTTTAATGGAAAAATACTCATAAAAATGCTATGTAATAAAGTTGAAAAAAATGACAGAATTCAAAACTTAAATAAAATAAACGTTTATGCATACAAAATGAATGGGTTCAGCAATTGGATCGATTTGGTTGTTTAGACTTTAACGTCCGCAGGCTCAAAAATATAAATTCACAGTATTAATAACTAATACAAAATGTGTTTAAAATACAATAACAAGAAATAAAATAATTATAAAATAGCATTCAGGCTTAAATAAAAAAATATTTTTTAATGGAAGGTAAGTAGATGTAAATTACCTCAAACGTTTCATATTCTTTTTAGTATTCTTTAAATACTGTAGAAACCTTTTAAATCTAAAAGGAAAACGATTCCAACTAGTAACAAAAGCAGTTAAATAAACCATATCTTAACATTTTTGGGGCCATTGTCAACTTTGTTATATCCATGTTTACATCATTAACCGCCTCCAACGATGTCTACAAATACAATCCATTTTTCATGGCGCTGCGATGTGAAAGTTGCGCCTCAAATATTTAAGGTCGAGCCATTACATCGCAAATGAGGCAATATTAATGTGAAACTTTCAAATGTTTCCGTTTGAAATGGTTCGGGGGATAATAACTTAATTGAGCCATCGCACGCATGGGAGAGTTCATTTAAAAGTTGAGAAACTGTCATCGTCTGAGCAACTCTAATCCTTGGGGCGCATATATAGAAGTCAGCCGGAGTCGGACGGCAGACACTATTCCACAGAGTGAGTTCCATTATGGTTCGTTACGTGCCCCGCTTGCCTGATGGCCAGAAGGTAAAACTTGCCTGGCCCCTGGCTGTTTTTCGGTTGAACCACATATTCTGGCCCTTGGATCCGAGCACCGGAAAGTGGGGACGCTATTTGGACAAAGTAATGGCTCTCCTCGGCTGCCTAATATTTCTCCAGCACAACGATGCGGAGCTGAGGTATCTACGGTTCGAGGCCTCTAATCGGAATATGGATGCTTTCCTCACCGGAATGCCCACATATTTGATCCTGGTTGAGGCTCAATTCCGGAGCCTCCACATTCTCCTCCATTTTGAGTCTCTTCGAGTGTTTCTGCAACGCTTCTATGCCGATATTTACATAGATCCGCGAAAGGAGCCGTTAATGTTTCGCTTGGTAGATGGCCAGATGTTACTCAACCGTTTGGTTTCAGCCATGTACGGAGCGGTGATAACTGGCTACCTAATTTCTCCAGTATTTTCCATAATCAACCAGAGCAAGGACTTTCTGTATTCCATGATATTTCCCTTCGACACTGAGCCCTTGCATGTGTTCGTACCTCTGCTCTTGAGTAATGTCTGGGTGGGCATTATAATAGATTCCATGATGTTCGGCGAGACCAGTTTGCTCTGCGAGTTGATTGTTCATCTCAACGGCAGCTATCTACTGTTGAAAAGAGACTTGGAGTCTGAGGCTCAGAGGATTCTGTCCAAGAGACACCGCCCCCACATGGCCAGAGAGCTCAAGGTTCTAATTATACAAACTTTACGGAAGAATGTGGCACTGAATCAGTTTGGCGAAAAACTAGAGCAACAGTACACAGTGCGGGTCTTCATTATGTTTGCCTTTGCGGCAGGACTTTTGTGCGCCTTGTCCTTTAAAGCCTATACGGTGGGTAATTAAAAAGCAAATAAATATGAAAATAATTTTGTAGAAAAAATTTTTGTGGAAATTACATTTATTTAAGTTTTCCTCTATATATTTTCTTTTTCTACTTCAGAATCCGATGGCCAACTATATCTATGCGATTTGGTTTGGAGCAAAAACTGTGGAATTGCTGTCACTGGGACAAATTGGCTCGAACCTGGCCTATACGGCAAGTAAAGCAAAAACATTATTTCGTACACTTATTAAAGATCCTCAATACAGACAGACTCCCTGAGTTCAATGTACTACCTGACCCATTGGGAGGAAATCCTTGAGCACTCCACCGATCCCCAGGAGAACCTGAGACTCCTGAAAATAATCAACCTGGCCATCGAAATGAACAGCAAGCCCTACTTTGTGACTGGATTGAAATATTTCCGTGTCAGTTTGCAGGCTGGCTTGAAGGTGAGTCTACGTCTGCAGGCTGAAACAAAACTATGCATGAGTTCTTTCTGACTCCCGTCTTCAGATTTTGCAGGCATCCTTCTCGTATTTCACGTTTCTCACCTCGATGCAGCGGCGTCAAATGAGCAATTAAATTATTCCGATTTTTAATGGCACATCATACACCATTCGCATTGCAATTGGCTTCTGACGCCCATCCCCAAAGCCTAGTCCACTGATACAAATGATTGCATATTAAAAGACAATTATTGCGAAATTAATTTTAATTAAATGAAATTGATAAAAGGTGCCGGCTCACACGCATCATTGACTTTTTCCTTCTTGGTCTTTTTGTGCATTTCTTTTTGCCAGTTGAGTCTGGGCGTGGGTATGTGGGTGTTCGGGTGCGGGTAGTGTATGTGTGCTTTCCCGCAAATATGCAATAAAATATTCATGATTTCTGTGCAACTCGAAACTTGCAAAAAGTTAATAAAACTTTTGCTTGCCTTTGCTTGTGCGTAATGAAATTAGAATATCACAAGCGACCGCAGATGAGAAAAAAATGAATAAAATAAAATTTTCAGTTTCCATGTTTTTCCTTCTCCGAAAATGATCAGCGACCATGAAGTCAGGCCAAATATATGTATGGATGCGCCCCAAAGGATCCTAGGCGCTTCGGTCGTGAGCCATAAATCTTCAGCGCATGGAGAAGATTCCTCCCACTATGTTTCAATTTCCTCTGGCACGAACATTTCGGTAAATTAATCCATTAAAGTTTTGCCATGAAAATGCAGAAAACTTTTCACATAAAGAGCTCTTCTCTCTCGTTCGCACTCATTTCCATCCCCTAGGACCCGGGTTCCGCCTCCGACTTCCGCCCATAGTTTCCTTGCGCAAAGCCGAACTTCGGCAGGTTCATTGATAATTAGACCCGTCTAAGCTCCGTCTCCCCTCAAATATATTGACCCGTTCCATTAGCCAATTTGTACTTCATTAGAGCCATGTTGTTGGTAGTCACAACAACGTCCGTTGGAGTTCCATTCCTGACAGTTCGCTGGAGGGTGGGTGGCTAATGACTTATTTTTGCACTGCCTATTGGAGCGAAAGGGTTACCGAATTCTGCTATTTGATCGGGCAACTCTAACGCTCACAAAAATATCCGGCCATTAAACCAAAAGACTTCTACAGTCAAAATCCAATAGATCTATCTTTCTATAATCTCCAAGATAAATGCACTAAAAAAACCGACAGAAGGGAAGGGAAATATTATACTCGGAAATGAGATCGAAAATCATTCCATCCCCATAAAATGATTTCCCAGAACACTGTGGACGGCAGTCCACGGGTGACGAACCGCAATGCCTTAGCGTGCCTTAAAGATACTATATAAGTCAAAGAACTAAAAATTTTATGCATTTGATTTGTAAGAATGATATACCAAGTAAAATAAAACCAGATAGCTTGTGTTCTAATGGCTTTTGATTTCTTCGAGAAATTGCGAGATCTTTAGCACCATGCGCACATAAATAGTTGAAAGCTGCTGCTAAAACTGGATGCTTGTAATCGTAATTAACATTTTATATAACTAGCAATAGTGGCGCCAAATTCGAAATGTTTTGGGAGGGGCGTTGACTTCACAAGCCCTTATCTTTCAGTCTGCCTGGGATCAACTTTGCACAAACCACTGAAAATTTTATATTTATGATTGTGTTGCCAACTCAAGCTAATCGCAAGACCAAAATGAACGCAGAGGGGATGTTGCACCCAGAGAGCTGGCTGGCAATGTATAGTGGAAAAAGTTTTGGCTTGTAATTATCATTAGCGATATTGTGTCTAAACTTTTTAAGCAGCGCGTGAAGCAACAGCATGCGAACTCCAAAAGAAAGAGGACCTTTCCCCTTAAACACCCGGAAAACTTCTAGTGAGCTGATTTGAAGGCCCTAAATCAATTAGACCGACAAGAAGAAACTTGTTAATTGCCAGATAAAGAACCCAATAAATTCTAGCCCGTGAAACGCGTCATTTAATACCACGTTTTTAACTACAACCGCCGCAAGCCTAATTAATTATAAATGCACTTTAAAAGTTTATTCGCCATTCTCACCAGAAAGTCGTCTGAAAAAATAATACAAGAAAAATATTCAACAACCTTTAAGCCAACTTTCGCCTTGCCAGAAAAAAAGCAAAGAACAGAAACGTGGAGAAAACCTGAAACGTGAAAGAAAGCCCATTCATGTGTGACTGCATTTGTCAGTCTCCGGCCCAGCGTCCTGGCACTCGCGTTCCTTGGCCCAGGTCCTGTGAGTTGTGTGCGTAATTATGCCTGAGATTATACCCACAGTCATGATGGTGGTTCTACAGTTGTCTGTCTCTAATATGGCATGGCAGCCTTCATTTCGTTCCATTTCGTCTTATTTCCTTGCAGCGTTGCTCAAACAAAAAACAATTCCACAAACTCAGTCTAAAAAATATTTAAAATTTTCAGTTCATTTTCAATTATTTTCATTACATCTACCACTAGACCCGAAAAAAAAAAATTTTGTTCGACGTATTTTATTAAATAGCTATACGGCTATCGCTAACTAACCGATAGTTTGGCTTCTTTTAAATGTTTAAAATGTCAGTCTTTTAATATTTTTAACTTTAAACGGCCATTTTGGTATATCTGGCGTGTGGATGTCGTCGCCGTCAAAAGTTTCTGTGGCTTTGGCCCCGCATCTTGGCTCAGAGCCGCTGATGTGTTAGCATTTGCTTTTCCTTTTAGTCGCTGCTGGCTTTAAGTAGAGGTTTAGAGATATTTTTTAGGGCTTGCCTTCGCCGTGTTGTTCATATACAGTTCTTGAGAAGCACTGGGAAAAAAGTTTCATATTTTATAAAATTATCTAAGAAGCTATAATATGTATATTTAAATGAAGGAAACCATCATAAAAGTGGTTATCAATATTGAGTATTGACTTTTGTGACAAATATGCAATGAATTAGGTATGTTTACAGAAATTATTTGCAATTGCTCTGATTGATGATTTAGGAAATAATGTCCATATATTAGAAGCTTTTACATTCGATTCTCAAACTTAGTTTTTGCGGTTATTTAAATGATGGACCTGTAAAACTAACATTGCAGTGCATGCCTGCTTAAGTATTTTCATTTCCCTTTAGCTCGTGCTGAAGCTGGTGGGTTTTGGCTTTTGCCTTGCCTCGTAAAGTCGCAGGAAGTTATTATCCTAAAAACTTTACCCCTGAGGGCAATACAAACAAAGACGTAGCAGGGCAACAAAGCGGAGCATTCATGTCTGACTATGAAACGGCGATGTCTGCACTCGCCCCAAGTCCATCCACCCACTTCCGCCCATCCGCCCGCCTCCGCCCCATACACACACATGCGTCTAGTTTGCTATGCATGAAAATAGAATGTCATAAAATTAGAACGATCATAAGAAGGGCGGGGAGCGAACGGAGAACAGAGAAGAGAAACACAAAGGAAGCCGGGAAAAGAAAGCGAAACGTGGCTCTCCAGCCAGCCAGCTGACTTTTTTACTGCTCTTGGCGAAAAGTTGATGGCGAGGCGTCCTAGTGGCCGCCTGAACCCATTAAATTCTCTTTATTATACCAGTAATATTTTCTCAAAATAAAAAACGGTAAAAATTCCCAAGACATTATCCGTTTATTTTGAAAATTTTATGAAAAATCCATTTTATGAATATTTAACAAATTTATTTTTTCTCTTGAACGTAATTATAGTTTTTTTTATTCAAGAAGACGCTTTAGGTAAACAAACATTTTATATGCGACCACCCCTTTTGGGAAGCTGGTAAAAGCTTCGATTCGGATGCCGACACCGACACCCAGGCCCATTTCCATACCGTCCTGTCCTGGATGGACGCTAGCCTGTCTTTGGTTGCAGCTAAAAAGGGAAGTGCACTGCTTGAATAAATTAAATGCTTACGACTTCCGTTTTGTGGGCAGGTAGCTATGGAGCAGCTTTGGCTCCAGCACAATTTGTACCATTAAAATCCCAAATATATGTATATACGAGTCCTTGTGTATCAGGCATGGATGGGGCGCAGAAGACGGGTCGCTTTACGCAGATAGTTGGTCCTGGGGCTGGGAAGGACTAGGGTTTGGGTTTTGGGTATGTTTTTTTGCAGCTTGGTTAGTTGCCCGGCGCGCTAATTTTTAATTACAACCACTAAATATTCAATTTTTAGCTGCCGGCTATGGCGAACACTTCCTCTACTGGACGGGCTTTTTATTTTGCAGATTAACGCGACCAGGAGGGCGTTCTTCTTGTTTCCTGTCAAGTGCAACAACTAGTTAGAATTGCAAATGCTGCGATTACTTTGTGGGAGGATACAGTCAGAATAGGTATATAAAATTATTCCTTAAAAAATTCCTTTTAATCCTGACGGAAAACCAAGTAGAACTACGCAAATTAAGCTCGGCTAGAAAAATAATGGGTCTAGGTTCTTACCAGTGTTAAATATATGTATATAATTTTTGCATAATTCTCAAATATAATCGACATATCATTAAATCATAGCTTTATTTAAAAAATGTTGATCTAAAACTATTTGAATAATCATTTTAGATAAAGATAAGATAAACGATAAGATAAAAGTATTCGTGTTGAAAAGAAACGGAAATTCATCTAATTAGCCACATTATGTGTTCGTTGTTAAAGTGTCGCCTAAAGAACAAATTAATTTTGGTTTTATATTCAAAATACTTGATGAAACTATGAAAGATATAACATTATTGAATGAGTGGATGCTTTCGTCCGAAAAGTATGCCACAAAGAATTTTGTTCTATGTGTTATACAACACATAGATTAAAACAATTTGCTAGCTCCCACTTAGTAGTGCCGAGGGTAAATCTAATCTTATTTAAGAATCATAAATAATATTGATTAGGCGTAATAATGCCCTTCTTAAAATGTATTTTAAATTCTCTAAACAGTTTTCATTAAAACGCCTTACACCCGACATGTACTATTACCATACACTATCTCTGATCTTAGTGCTAGTCACCGGGTGCAAAGCGGCACCGTTTGAGCGGGTGGAAACGGATCCAGAACTGACAGCTGGATATATAGAAGGGGACATGGTGCCCAGTGGATCGGGAAGGAACATTTGGCGCAATGAGACTTTCAGATGGCCCAATCGGATCGTCTACTATCACATTAATAGTTACATAGGTAAGGGTCAATATATAACTAGAGCCAAGTTACTAGATTTACCATTGTTTGTATTTTTTACCTAATAGACAAAGAGCATCGAAACCAAATTGTGAAGGGTATTCAAAAAATTGAGTCCGTTTCGTGTCTGACTTTCAAAGAGGCGACAACCGATCAGGAGTACTTTATAAACGTGACCTCAGAGGACGGAGGCTGTTTCTCCTATATTGGTTACCTGAATCGAGTTCAACAACTGAATCTCCAGAGCTACGAAATAGGAATTGGCTGCTTCCGTCTCTACACAATAGTCCACGAATTCCTACATGCCCTGGGGTTCTTTCACCAACAGAGTGCCGCCGATCGAGACGATTACGTCCAGATTGTCGAGGAGAACATCACCGAGGGGATGGAGTTTAACTTCGATAAGTACAGCGAGGCGACGGTTAATGATTTCGGAGAAAAGTACGACTACGACAGCGTCATGCACTACGGTCCCTATGCGTTTTCCAAAAACGGCGAGCGCACCATCAAGACCTTGGACGAAGACAAAGAAGACGCCATAGGTCAGAGGTTGCAGCTGAGTGAAACGGATATCAGAAAACTGAATGCCATGTACAGGTGTCCCCATGTGCAGGACTCGTTTTGAACGCTCCTTCGGTCTGCAAATTGGTCCTGTTGAGTATATAGTAGCTTAATGATGATAAATTTCGCACATTGTCATTTTCACCACATTGTTGTCTGTTCTTTGGATGAAAAATATAATCAGTATTTCGGTTTGCGATTTATTTGGGGATGAAATTTACCATAAATTGAAACTGCTTTTTGATACGAGCTGTGGGTTGTATATAAATGAAGATAAATTGGTTTGAGAAAATGGTATGTACGAGAACGTATGTGAACTCCTGATTTTTTAAAAATGGTTTTAATTTTATCCCAAAAGAGCCAAAATATGAAGATTTGACTTTCTCTTGAAATAAAACAATAAAGTAGGAATTTCCTGAGTTCCACTGGATTTCCTAAAGTCTGATTACTCGGCGTGAAAACTACCTCGCTTTAAGATTACGTATTCGGTTATAAACGCTTAGATAAGATCTTAGTGGTCATTCTTGGCCAATAAGCTGGCTATAGATAAGAGGTTCGGCAAATACCATAAATTATCCAATGTCAAAGAAAAGCGCCGGCTAATTTGACCACGGCGCTTCGAAAAACAGTTTTTTTCCGAACTTGGACCGGTTAACATGCAGACTTGGGCTTTCACGGTGGCTATTATTTTTCTGGCCAGCAGTTGCTTTGCCGCTCCTGCTAAGCAGGAGAGGATCGAGACCGATCCGGAACTGACAGCTGGCTACATTCAGGGGGATATGGTGCCCAGTCCCCAGGCTAGAAATGGGTTGCGCAATGAGACGTACAGGTGGCCAAATAGGATTGTCTACTATTATATCAACAGGAATATTGGTGGGTAAAAAGTATTAAATAACGATTTAAATTTTTAATGAATGCTGTGGAAAATTTACAGATACCGATCATCGCAACCATATTCTTCGAGGCATCCGAATCATTGAGCAGAACTCCTGCCTGAGTTTCAAGGAAGCCACCACGGACCAGGATTACTACATAAACGTCACATCGGAGGCCGGCGGATGCTACTCCTACGTGGGTCACCTGAACAGAGTGCAGCAATTGAACCTGCAAAACTACGATCTGGATGCTGGCTGCTTCCGCCTGGGAACCATTGTCCACGAATTCCTGCATGCCCTGGGATTCTATCACCAGCAAAGCACTTGGAACCGGGATGAATATGTCAGAATAGCAGAAGAAAATATAACCGAAGGCACTGAGGGAAACTTCAATAAGTACGACAACGAGACCGTTGATGATTACAACGAGCCCTACGACTACGGCAGTGTCCTGCACTACACGGCGTATGCATTCTCTAAGAACGGAGAGATGACCATCGTCCCGCTGCAGGAAGGAGCCGTCGAGCTCATGGGTCAGCGAGTGCAAATGTCCCAGTCCGACATTAATAAGCTGAACACCATGTACAAGTGTCCCCGAAAGATTTAAGATTTACGAAAGGACGTTGAGTGCCCAAAGGATAGTTAACCAGCTTAAATTATAAATACGATTTAGACTTGACACAAAGTTTGACCATATTAGCATGTTTCTTAATTTAAACAAATTTCAATGGAGTAAAAATAAATAAATGTTATGGAAGTGTTATTGATAATGCTAAATGGTAACCCCATTCTGAAACTATCTAATAAATAATATTGCGATTTAATTTAATGACTAAAAAGTCAACCCACAAAGTATGCTTGACTTTCATGACAAAGCCTGGCAAAAAAATATGTTTACAGGAATTGCCAAAAAATGTATATAAAATGTAAAAGTACTTATTCTTTTTATAAAATTTGAAAACAAAATAAGATTATTATTTAACAACATTTGAAGGCAAATATTATAAACCTTTTTGGATTATCCTAATAATTTATTGTTGGTTTCCGCAATTTGATCCCATGGTGACGCTAATGTTTTTATCTCTGGTTGTTTTTAAGAAATCGGCGTTTAAACATAGTTTTAGTTACTAAATACCCATGGCATGGATGAATAAATCCAATTCTCTTTTTCCTTGGAATGAAATTCAAATGATCCAAAAAACTAACTTGTTAAAATGTGTAAAGCTTTTCCGTATAAATAAACCCAAAACAAGAACTCGATTATGGAAGTCACAATTGTCGAAAAAATTCTGGAAAATAATTACGCTATTTTTATTGCAAGTCCCAGTACGAATGCTGATGAAATCGCAGTTGCTTCTTATAATGGCTACAATAAAACGAAAGCTGAAGCGAATTGTTGACCAACTAGAGATGAAAATTCTTCTACTATTGAATATGATAGTTACTTTTTTAGTTAACCTTCTAATTAAAAAAAAAAACTAAAACAAAAGAAAATAAATAGTTCAAACGAAAATTTTTTTAAATTTGTGAGTAAATATGTAGTCTTTTAATAATCATAGAGATAATTCAATTTATATGCTAATTATACCTAGTACTCGCTGAGTAAAAAAGTAGATTTTAATGTATGTAACATAGGGAAGAAAACATTTCCGACCACATAAATTATATATATTTTTGATCAGGATCAACAGCCGAGTGAAATACCCAGGTCCGTCTGTCCTCTGTCCGTCTGTCCGTCTGTCCGTGTGTCTGTCCGTATGAACGCGTAGATCTTAGAGACTATAAGATATAGAGATTTCTAGTCTGCTTCCTTACTGAATCAATAGTATGGAGGTAGGTTGGGTAGTAGGGGCTCTTGTTGTGGTTTTGCCCAAGCGCAAAAGTATGCAAGAAAAATTTGTTGCTGAGACTCTATACCGTTAATAATTACGCTATTTTTATTGCAAGTCCCAGTACGAATGCTGATGAAATCGCAGTTGCTTCTTATAATGGCTACAATAAAACGAAAGCTGAAGCGAATTGTTGACCAACTAGAGATGAAAATTCTTCTACTATTGAATATGATAGTTACTTTTTTAGTTAACCTTCTAATTAAAAAAAAAAACTAAAACAAAAGAAAATAAATAGTTCAAACGAAAATTTTTTTAAATTTGTGAGTAAATATGTAGTCTTTTAATAATCATAGAGATAATTCAATTTATATGCTAATTATACCTAGTACTCGCTGAGTAAAAAAGTAGATTTTAATGTATGTAACATAGGGAAGAAAACATTTCCGACCACATAAATTATATATATTTTTGATCAGGATCAACAGCCGAGTGAAATACCCAGGTCCGTCTGTCCTCTGTCCGTCTGTCCGTCTGTCCGTGTGTCTGTCCGTATGAACGCGTAGATCTTAGAGACTATAAGATATAGAGATTTCTAGTCTGCTTCCTTACTGAATCAATAGTATGGAGGTAGGTTGGGTAGTAGGGGCTCTTGTTGTGGTTTTGCCCAAGCGCAAAAGTATGCAAGAAAAATTTGTTGCTGAGACTCTATACCGTTAATGTTTAAACTTTAAAGGTTAGTTCAATTGTGGGTGGATGAGATGAATACCGAGTATAATATGGTCGGAAGATAGTTGTACGCTGAAATAAATTAAATTTTAAGTATCCAGGACTTATGTACGTCTTGAAATAAAGGAATATTCTCGGCCATGCCGTTGAAGCCATTTTTTAGCCCCAGTTGGGAATTTGTGTCTTTGGCATTGAAAAATAGAATTTTAAATTTAAATTATTTAAATGTTATTTTAAATAATTTTTTACCATATATTAAGAATATATTGAACTACAAATGCAAATTTTTGAGAGAAAAAAAAATATATAAATAAAGCTATATTAATACCCTTGCGTAGTGTATTATAATTTTGGTCAAAAGTGTGCAACGCAGTAAAGGAGACATCCCCGACCCTATAAAGTAAAATATATTCATATATTCTTGATCCGACCGAACAAATTGCATAACGGTTAGCCGACTATGTCTTAAAGCTGCCATATAACTGAACTGTCGGAAATGGTATTTGGTAAAAATACCAACTTTAGTATTTTTAAAGATAGGAGCTTGGGACTTTTTTTAGAATTTGTATTCCAAAAAAAAGTTGTTTCGATCATTATGATATTCTTATAAGGATCGGCCATATATATCAGATGTTTGCGATATATGCATATACGGTTTTAAGTTAGCTTCCCTTTCTTGCTCGTTATAAAATTTTATTTTAATTCTTTTAGTTACGGCAATATGAGAAAAACACGCTAGAAATTTGAAGAACGCGTTGTCGGTCGTTGAAACGCGTACCCTTTACTTTTTTTATACAAGGACATTTAAATATTTTTGTACCCACATATTCTACAAAAATTAAAGATAGGATTTATAGGAAAACACTTTTCTCACACACAGAAAATTTTTTTCAACTCAGCATGACTTTTGTAATTTAAAATTAAATGGGACGAATGAGTTAAATAGGTTATTTAAACTTATTTAAAATCCCTTAGCTTTAGTTTTAGATCGAGCCTTGAAATGAATAGATTGATGGTGGCTGTGCTTTGGATAACCGTAAAAGGCGGTCTTAACTATCCTTTTGAGGACCCTGAGCTTTCCCCGGACATGTTTCAGGGGGATATCGGAATTCCTCCTCTCAAGCAAAGAAATGGAATGAATACAGCCTTACATCTGTGGCCAAATCGCACGGTTTTCTTTGAGATCGAACCAAATAAATTTCGTAAGTACGTTGAAGACTAAAAACTAATAGCGTAATGCCAAAATACGGTCTCCAAAGGAGATGAGCACATGGCACTAATCCGCCAAGCCATGAACACGATCCAGGAAAAGTCATGTGTAATTTTTCGAAATGCAACTGAAGCAGAACGTAGCTCTTCACTTCTCATAACTTCACAAAACAAAGGATGCAGCACGCTGGTCTTGGGTTTCCGGAACTTCACGAATAAAATGAACCTTCAGCTCTTCGATCCTGGCAGAGGATGCTTCCGCATAGGCTCAATCATCCACGAGTTCCTTCATGTTTTAGGGTTTGAACACCAGCATGTGGCCCAGGACAGGGACCAATTTGTTCGCATCGCGTGGGAAAACATTAATCCAGAGTTCAAGATTAATTTCATAAATAACGACAAGATATCAAACTTTAGCAGCTTCGGGGAAACCTACGATTACGATAGTGTAATGCACTACATTCCCACCGCCTTCTCAAAAAACGGAATGCCAACCATTATTCCTTTGAAGGAAGTGGGACAACGAATGGGACAGAGACTTGGAATGAGTGAGATTGATGTTAGGAAGCTCAACAAAATGTACAAATGTCCTGGCTATGTTTAACGTTTATTACAGATCCTAAGTCTGTTTCAACATGTCTATGGTAGTTAACCATTCAATCCATACTTAAATCTTTTATTTTTCCCAATGAATATTGCTAATAATTTTTATACCCTTGGAGAGGTTATTATTATTTTGGTCAAAAGTGTGCAACTCAGTGAAGGAGACATATCCGAACCCTATAAAGTATATATATTCTTAATCGGGATCACCTCCTGAGTTAATATGAGGATGCCCGTCTGTCTGTTTCTACGCACACTAGCCTCTTAGTTTTTACCAAGCTTGGGCCTTTTTTTTTAACTTTGGTATTTTAATAAATTGGTTTAATTCGGAAATTCTAATAAAGATCGGATTACTATAGTCTTTAATTTCAATATATATGAGGTCTTAACTGCAATGATATATCAACTTCGGGCGAACCCGTTCTTTCCGTTCTTGTACGAGGTTTCTACAAAAAGTTTTTTCCCACTTGTGATAACTTTTTTTCCAATCCTCAAAGCATTTTAAAAAATAATTTTTGTGATCTTCTGCAGCTCCTCCTTCGATGCCATCTTTATCTCCTTAATCGTGGCGTAGCGGCTTCTTTTCATGGGCCTCTTTAGTTTCGGGAAAAAAAGTCTCAGTGGGCCAGGTCTGGGAATACGGTGGCTGCGGCATTATTGGAGTGTTTTTTCTGGCAAAAAATTCGCGCACAAGTAAAGATGTGTGAGCAGGGGCATTATCATGGTTCCAAAGCTTTCGCAAACGTGTTGTTCTTCGCAAACGTGTTGTTCTTCATGGTGTTGTTCTTTCGCAAACCCGGGCGTTTGTGGCGGATTGATTCTCGCAAATTACGCATTACTTGAATGAAAATATTTCTTATTGACCGAACTCGTAAGCCACCACGCCTCTGCAAACAAAGAACACGGTCAGCGAAACCTTCACATTCGACCGAACTAAGCTCACATCTTCTCGGCCCTCTCATAACATTTTAAACCACCGATAAACGTTTGCTTTTGTCTAAAGTATTTTTTTTGTCCGCATTCTTTAAGTAGTTTTTCACACAAAATGTGATAAAAATTCTTTGATCCATTTTTTGAAAAACGAAAATCGAAGAAAAGCTTAAACACGCCCACGCACAGCAGCTGTCAAAACTGTCTGGACATTCAAAATGCCCGAAATTGCCAACATAAGTGAGGGTCCAACATAACGTCACCAAAAGATCATAAATCGAACATACATAGCTCGTAAATTCAATATTCGCGATACTTTTTAAACCTCGTATACAATTTGATTTTAGGTTTATATATAAGAGAACCCACAAAACTTTTAATTTCGTTTTAAGCATTTAATGTGAGACACTAATTCATTATCAGTTCCCAAGTTCAGGCTTCATTCCTGGGAAAATTACTGGGACTCAAAAAATAAATTATGTCTAGTTAGGGTTTTTGCAGAAGCTAAGGTCATTATTTGACATTTGAAGTAGTAAAGTATTGCATAACGCGCCAAGATTAAACTATTAGCCAAGGTTCAAAGAAGAAGCATTGGTGTATTGCTGGTAAATAACAGTTTATTTTAAAATCTATTGTATTGTATTTTTGCAAATATGCATTTCCAGAAACAAATCAACCATAACCGAAAAATTGCATGTGAAAAATCATCGATTTATTTGAGTGTAATTATAAATAACTTCCAAAATGTTCATAATACAATAGTTTTTAGTTGTAGCTAATAGTTGGTTCGAATTTCTAATTGTTGTTTTATAGTTGGTTTATACCCTTGCAGAGGTGATAGGTATAGTATAGGTATTGGTGAAAAGTGTGCAACGCAGTGAAGGATTCATCTCCGACCCTAAAATGTATATGTATTCTTGATCAGGATCACCTCCTGAGTTGATAGAAGCATGTCCGCCTGTCCGTCTGTGCGTTTTCTGACGCGTCGGTCCGTCTGTGTGATTCTACGAAAACTAGTGTCTCACTTTTAATGCTATGGAATTGAAACTCTGCACAGATTGTTTGGTGATTGAGATTTTTCATTGAGATGACCTTAGTCGGCACCAAAATACAAAGACGAATTAATTTATTTGAACATTATAAGAATGTTTATTCTGCATGCAGATGTAGTTGGATGATTGGATGATATACCAGCTTATGGTGCATGCAGGGATTTAATGTAATGTACAAAGAGTGCGGCCCGACTAGACTTTGCCAAGCTAAAGCTATCGATAAGTCCATAAAATAAAGTCCAATAAAGTATACACATATATTCTTAATCAGGATGATCTCCTGGGTAAGGGTATAAAGATAGAGGGTTCTACTTTGTTCAGATCCTTTTTTTTTTTGCCAATTGATCCAACCTACCAAATTTCATCAGAATCGGTCGACTATATCCTATAGCTGCTTCCCTACAAAACGCTATAAGGATTATTTGTCCTCTCCGAAAATATCCAACTGTCTGCAATTGGGGAAAGCTGTTTTAGGTCTCCAAAAGAATATAAATGATTTTCCACAAAAACTTAAGTCTGGGCTTCGGAATATTTTAAAAAGCCGTTGGTCCTGAAAGAGAAATCACTGAATGTAGAGTCAGTCCTCCAATTCCAAAAGCATCTTTTCCAGTTGGATCCCATAAAAAACCTTTGCTGAAACCGTATCACCAGGAAGCTTATTTGCTTGCCAAGTCACAGACTGATAGATGATAGGTAGAAATCAGTGTGTTTTTTCTTACCAAGGCACAAACATATTCGTAAAAAATATTTTTACATACAACATTTTGCCACACATGTGCAAAGTTGTCTTTGTTTGTAGTTGATAGACCGAGTAAGCGAGCAGAGGTTATAATTGGAAACTAACGGGGGAAGTCTAATAAATTAAAGTTCGCCGTTTTCTTCAAGGTTGTTTATCGCATTGTCATCCTGCAGAATATTTTGGTTCCTTTCCATATTTGTTACTGCTAAACCTCGTCTAAAAATTAGTAGGCAAGTTCTTTCGCATTAGGAGCATTATCTCCCCTCGGATGTAGAAGTTGCCGCAGTTGCTGAAGGAAACCATCTTAGAATCAGGAAATGGCTACGTTTCTTAACGCAACCAGCAACTTTGATCAGCAACTTCATCCTCGTCATCTACCTTAACATTATTTGCTTCATCGTAGTCTTCATGATTAGAGGCATATCGCGGTTTCCGCTTGACAAATCTGTACCAAGCTGCGAAATCTACTAAACAAATTCTTTCCAACTGCTCACGCCTTTGCACATATCGGTCAAGAATATTACGCTCAAAAACATCGACTGAATTGTTTGAAAGTCGCTCTAATTCTTCATTTGAGCGAGCCAATCTAACTCGTTTGTCTGGATGACAAGTGTTTAAAAAAATAGTCAGATCCAAGCAGACTCAAAATATTGTAAGCTGCTTCTTGCGCCGATATTTATGTAGCGTTAATAAACTTATCCCTTAGGTGCTGTAATTTCCTTTTAATAGAAATATTCCCATGGCTTATTTCTACCATGGCTTCATGGAGCAATTCATGCGATACACCTCTTGATGATTTGTTTATGTAGTTAATAACATAACTACAACAGGCGTAAACATCTAGGACAAATTGAATATCCATATGCGTATGCCTAGAATATCTCTATTATAGTCGGTCGGAGAATTGTCTGCGAAGAAAAATTTGTTGCTTGTTAAAGCTGGAACGTAAGGGTTGTTTATAGGCTAAAAGGGGTTTAAATTATAAGGGTTAAGGTGGGACAGAAAATTATCAAAATTGTTAAATAATGTAAAATTGTTAAGTTAAAATATCCTTATTTTCTTATGTTTGGAGAAGCACTTTTTTTTTAAGAAGCACTGTGCTTATCGCGCTGATACTAAATGACTTATTGTACTTGTTTAGTATCATCCCCATTTGCAGTAATAAACCTATCAATAAAGTTTATTACTTGCTCGGTGTTTTCAGAGTCTTCGGGCTTAATAGCACCAGCAAGCCAATACATGCTGTGAGAATGCGAAGATCCTCTGGAATTCGGTTCTCCAATAAAAATGAGAAGGATTGAATTCCCCAAAAACATCGGTTTTGAACAATTTAATTATTTATTAATTGTCGCACTACAACTTAAACTAAGCTTAAAAAAAAAAAAAAATTAATTGTCGCAAGCTATAATCAAAGTATATCCGAGCCTTTTCGAAGCTGGAAAGAGTTGCCGTTTCGTCCTCGCTTATAGCCCTTATTTTCAATAGATGAGAGGTGATAACTAAAACTTTATTTCACTTACTGTCAGCAGCGGAATGAGTTATGATTAACGTTGGCAACAAAAATTGTCGACTCATAGCTATAACATATTTTCAATGAGCTGGTGCAGGCCGTAAGCCTTTTAGGATGTGGGAGCTACCAGGTGGACTGGTTGCACAAGTCAGTCGACTAATGACTCAGCCGGCAGATTACCAGCGGTAAGAAAGGCAGAGTGATGGGAGTTTTCCAAGAGAGACGGCACGATGTCAAGTCTGGCTAAACATTTGCGGAAGGACTGGAAAATTTTCTTGAAAATAAAAGGCGTTGCCAACGTATAGGAGAAGAAATTTAGCGGAGATAGCCAGGATGTATAATCCACTTACCTGCGAACGGAACTATGCTCCTCCACAGCAAATACAAATAGCCGTTGGGCCATTCTTTATGTTCCTGTGATACAGATCCCTCGCTGTTGTAGTGTTTCTCGGCGTTGTGATGTGTTTATCCGTTGCTCCTGTGATCTTGCGATGGGATTTCTCCTGGTTGCTCTCCTGTTATCGGCGTTCTTTTCCGTTCTCGCCGCCTGTCTTCCGTATTCCTTCGTCGCTCTCGGTGCTCTCCAATGTTCCTTTCCTGTTTCCTTGCACGTTCCTCTGGGTCCTCTTGACGAATAGCACGCGCTGCGACGTCCCGAACCCGTTTAGGATTTCGGTACTCCGGAATAGTCCTTCGAATAGAGTTCGCAGAAGTAGTTCGAAACTGCTCTCGTCGTCCCTCCTCGGGGTCCTCTCGACGGATCGCGGGCAGTGCTGCCTGCAATTTCGTTGCTATTTCTGGCAACTTTTTTAAAAGTTTTCAATTTTTTTTTTAATTTTCTATTAGCTACAAATC